AGGGGCCGGGCAGAGTTCCGAGGCCAAGGCCATGGAGGCCACTCCGCCATGGCTCCCCGAACTGCCTGCTCCACCATGGTTCCCGGAACCGGTACCACCCTGGAGGCCTCCCGTCTTTTACAAGCCAGTTCTAAGAGGCCTCCAGGGCACCTACCCTCCCACCCCCTTTGTTGATTGTATGTGGTGCGAGGACGTGCCTTCCGGGAGGGGGAGTTGATGTCAGACCTATGTACCTGTTTTGTTGTGTTTTCTCCCCATGTGCTCCCCGTGACCCAGTTTCTCCCTTGTTTGGTTGTGTTCGTTTGGTTCAGGTGTGTCACGTCAATTACCCTCGTTTAGTCTTGTGTATATATAGTGGTGTCTGTTCCTGGGTTCCTTTGTCCAGTGTTAAACGTCTATACTATGTGCTCTGTGTGTGTTCCTGCCTGCCCTTTGTTACCCCTATTTGGATTATTAAAGACTGTGATTCGTGAATCTCCTGCATCTCATAATCCTTCGCTCCTGCACAGCAGACACCCGTGACAGTAGCTATGTTTCCATCCAAAGATTTGAATTAAACTTATGCACAAAACTGGAATATTGCATAAAACATATGCGAACAAAGCACCGTTTCCATCCAACGAGTCAAAGAGAAACAAAATCGTCACTTCCTGGTAAACTGTGGCACTAAATATCACTAAGAATATAGGAGAAGCCACTGAATATAATAATTTTCATATATGATATAAATTACTTGCACCTCAGAGCGAGCAGATGTAACACAATAAATGCTGTCAATGCTTTCAGAGGTGGATGCTGCTGTTTGGGAACGTAGTCGTGTAAGACAATTATACAGAAATACTTTGACAACAGACTTTGCTCAGGCATTTCAGAATGACCATAACAACATATAGATGCTGTGAACGAGATCGGTCTGCTGCTAGTCAAGTTATCCCATCACATAGCACAAAGTCACATGACTTTTTCGATGCGCATGGAGGAATTTATTTGGTAAATGTGTTTCCATCGTAGTTTATGCACATTTTTTCTTATCGGATAAAAAGTTTATCCTACTCAAATGTGTGCATACGTTTTTTTATGCGCAATTTTAGAATTTATGCGCATCTTGGCGTTTCCATCCAGCGGTTTTTTTAATGCGATATTCCAAAATGCGCATAAAAATAGGTGGATGGAAACGTAGCTAGTGTGTTGGCTGCTTTTAGAGGGGTTTGGGCATTTTTCTAGCTGGTTAAACTTAGAGAACAAATGGATACCCAGTTAAACCAGCTAAACCCCAACCTGACCAGGCTGGAAGAGCATTTTAAACTAGACCATCTTTCTTGCTGTCTATAAATTGAGATATTGTCTCATTTGTGTTGTGTGTGTTTTTTTTTTTTATATTCCTTTGGTTGGTTAAATTTACCACTAGAGCTCAGCTATTTAAAAATAAATGTTAAAAAATGGCATATTTTTGTTATACAAGGCAACGAATCATGCTTTGTAAAATAATGCAAGTTCACAAAAATAATTTTGACTCATCCCTGCCAATTATTTATTTTTATTATTTTTTATAATATTAATATTTATTAATATTTGTTCTTCTTGATGTTATTTTTATAAAAAAATAATTATTTTTATTTATTATTGAAATACTAAATTAAAATATAATCAAAATATTACAAAATTGACTCCCCATAACCATATAAATCTTGGTTATATGAGGAGTCACTGACAATGGAAGTAAATAGGCCCATTTATTTATTATTTAAAACCAGAAAATGTGTGGCTTATATAATAATAAAATGCACTTCTCTTCTTCTGATTCTTCTCTTAAAATGTGCTTTATTTAAGCAGGAAAACTGAAAAATCACAATTCACAAAATCATGCTAACTAACGTACTGTTTTCATCTTGTGGCTAACATAACGTCTACAGGTTGACACTGTTCACTTCCATTGAAAGAATCTTACTGTAACCCTGATTTATGCTTTTTATTAAAGTAATCATGGACAAGTTGATATTATATTTTGTGGTAATTGACATTAGGCCAATAATGCCTGTCAATAGAGTTTAACTTTTATTGAACCCAGAATGTTTCATTAATGTGCACAATGAGCAAATGGCCTTAACAGAATGTACATCTAAGATCTTGCCCTAACCTGCTCCTATGGACAATAGACATATTCACTGCATGACATTTGGGGGGTTTCTGGTTATTTCAGAAGTCTGCCTTTTGCCAACAGCATTGACAGCAACACACAGGCTATTTTCATTCAGATACAGTAAAGTGAGTGTGTAGCACCACCAGCCTCTCTCTCTCACACATTCACACACACACACACACACACACACACACCCCTGAGGTTCTTTCTTGGCGTGACGTGGGATCCTGGCCCTGCAGGCTACGAGTTTGTGCAGCAAAGCATTTATAGTCTTTGGCGTGGAAATGTTAGAGGTGGCGGTTTTGGCCCTCTTTCTCACCCCGCTGAACGTTATTGTCTTGTCACATGTAAGGGTAATGGAAACAATGGGTCTTGTGCCAAAAGAGACAGTTAGCAGGACCCAATACATTGTGGCACACATGCCCTACAACCCTCTCTCTCACTCCCTGACTACGGGGGCAAACGCAGGGCACAGAATGCACAGACTACCACAAGAACCCCACAAGGCCTGCTGTGGATATTCTTCATTCATTGGGTCACAGTTCCAAGAACAGAAAAATGGCTGGAATACCCATAAAATTTATGGCAGAGAGTGGAGTGGAGTAATGACACCACTGCTTGGCTCAGTTGCTATATATTTCATGGTGTCAAGTGGTTAGTCAGGCTTGTTGTTATTTGTCATTTTAAGTCGAAATCTGGCTTGCTATCAAAACTGAATGGAAATTGGAAACTCACACCAAGCCACACATAAAATCCTAGTATTTGTGGAGCATTTGTACTATAGTTCCCCCAGACTGAGTGGTATTTAAACATCCCATGGGCTGGGAGGTGATAATGAGAATGTGTCCCCTTCTAAATGATCCCGTGTTCACTTGTAAGCAAGGTGAGGAATTAATTATCTTGCCTAAATGGTTTCACAAGTTCATTGCTACTACATACAATGTGTTTCTCCTTAAATAATTTCCCATGAGAATATGTTCCAGCATTAACTGCCTGTTCCTCACACTGGGAGTCCAGACTGTCTCCAAAGACTGTTCCCTCAACAACCCTCAGTGGCTTTTATCCAGGTCTCTCTTCTTTGAGAAAGTACAAGCTGAACTGTCCATGTATTAGAAGGAAGTTAATTTGTTTCAATGACTGAGCAGAGAATCCCATGGATGGATGGATGGATGGATTAATGACGAGAAATATTGCAGAATCTGAAATATTTTGTCAAGATTTGTCAAGCATGGGGAAAACAAATGGAACAACAGTCCTCAGAATAGTTCCAATTTAATTAGTTTGCTCAAGCATGTTGCCGAATAACATGTACATTCAACATAATTTGTCAATTTTAAAAAATTTAAGTAGATATGTCTTCAGTGGACTTTTAACATTTTCGGCAACTGAGATCTGGCAACAACTTTTTTGATTTGGGCGAACAATTCGCAGACCGCTTTCCTCATGCGTGAAATCACCCACATGCCAACAAATCAATGGGAACGTGCAATAATGACTATTCTAAGCAATAAAATGCAGATGGTGAAGTTGCTGCGGATCCGCTCACCCAAATCCCTCCATAACTGATTTGCAGAAAATTACAGTTGTTTGGCAAATAAACAATTCATGGGCAGTTACATACGTATTCCCAACATTTTATTATGTAAGCTTTATGTTTACACCTCAAATGACAAGGGAATATATAGTAATGTTAATATTACTAAGCCAGTCCCCAAACTCATCCTCTCAAATTTCTTGGGTATGCAGAGTATTCACAGCTTTTATAGACTGAACGGACCTGATATAGAGCAGAATAGTCGGGTTCCGGAAGTCAAAACCCCATTCACATTCTCCATAGGAAAATTTATTTTTAACAATAACTGGTAAACCTTTAAAGACAGACCTACTGTGAGCTCTGAGATTGTTAATTGATTGTATATTGTTTTGTTGAACCCATCTGTCTATTTTTAAAATAATCTCATTTAATAGTGGAATTCTTGGTGAAAAACTACATTACCCATGATGCTGTACAGAAAATTCCACCAATCAGAGAGTCACAGCAAGCAAAGCTCCACCCACTCCCATGAAGAGCCGCAAATGATGTAATCGAGTCGGTCTTTCTACGCTCTCAAAATACATAAATGTTTGCATATATATGCATATTTTGCAATAAAATTATTGCATACTTTGAATAGTTTTATATTTCTCCATTGTTTTAATATAATTATGTCATTCGCAATGCTTCATGGGATTGTAGTTCTTCCCTTCAGTAAAACTGTACACAATCTTATACCTTTGTGCTTATGTCCAATTTGTATATTCTTTTTTGGTAGCACTTTATTTTAAGGACCAATTCTCACTATTAACTAGTTGCTTATTAGCATGCATATTACAAGCATGCTAACTATTAATAAGCAGCAAATTAGGAGTTTATTAAGGCAAAAGTCATAATTAATAGTTACTTAATGCTGGGAACTAAAGTGTGACCACCACTTTTTGGATTCAAATTAAAGTTTGTACTGTTGTGATTCTCCTCATAGCTGGTTGGTTTTGGTCCAGTCTTATAATGCTTTAACAAAGACTTTTTGAACATTTCTATGGGAAAAATACTTCCGTAACCAGCTCCACTGAAAAGTGGGCGGGCATCAGTGCATTCTACATGTGTAACTATAAAATATACTGTACCTCCATATCATACAATATATATATATATATATACTGTATATATTGCCAAATATATTTGGTTTGGACTTGACAAATACAACTTGAAGTACTGTATGGTTTTAACCACTGACAATAAAAAAGAAGAAATGTGCTAAAGATTGCTTTTTAGATTCTGCTAATGTTCTTGTCAAATCTAACGGTGATTTTGTTTTTGCAGCGGATGTGGCGCGTTGCTTGAACAGTGCGCTCCAGGTGGGCTGTGGTGCCTTTGCCTGTCTTGAAAACTCAACGTGTGACACAGATGGCATGCACGAAATCTGCAAGTCCTTTCTCTACAGTGCTGCTAAATTCGACACTCAGGTATGTACGTTTGCATACAATTCAAGCCAAAGAACAATAAAGATATATCAGTTCATCGATGGATACACAATATCCTATTGAAGTCAAAGGCGCCATCTCAGCAGACAGTAGGAAGCTAAGAAGCAATGGGATTGGATGAATCCTGTCAAATGAATGCGGCTGAAGTCCACTGAGATCTGAAAAAGGCCCGATGGGAGCTATTATTTTCAAAAGTTCTTATTACAGAGTGATTCATAAATGCTTTCTTAATTGATGGCCTTATATAGACTAACATTGTATCACAATAATTGTTGCTTTAGTGATTTGACCGCCAATTTTACCTCAAACAAAGATCTTATTACCAAGTTAATACATTGAAAATTGATTCAAACGAATCGTTACATAGAACTGATTCAAATGAATGATTTGTTTGAAAATCATTACTTTTTAGTGCCCAAGGTTCTGCTTATTATAATAAAAACCTTTCCAGTTTCATGAGATGGACTGAAGTTACAGTTCAGGCCTGTGCTTGACATGGAGTTTCCTGTTGATTTTGCAGGGTAAGGCTTTTGTGAAAGAAAGCTTGAAGTGCATTGCCAATGGCATCACTTCCAAGATCTTTCTAACAGTCAGACGTTGTTCCACCTTCCAGAGGATGATTTTGGAGGTTCAAGAGGAGTGTTACAGCAAGCTGGACATTTGCACAGTGGCCAAATCAAACCCAGAAGCCATTGCAGAGGTCGCTCAGCTACCCAGCCACTTCCCCAACAGGTAAGACTCCTGAACCGGATGAAACGATTTCATCTTATGGTGTACACAAAAACAGAAAAAGGGTTGACCATACTAAATTTGGAAATGAAAGAATCAGTTAGGTGGATTCCCTTGTGAAAAAGAAGTGTGCAAAATTGTATTGAATTAATTTTATTAAATATAAACTGCGCTTGCAGATAATATAATATTACTGAAATAAAAGGCTACTTAAGTGTATAAAGAGTATATTTAAAGTGCACTTTTTTATAATCTCTAAAGGTTTTACTTTACATTAGATTTTAAAATATTTTAAATTTTAAATAGATTTTAAAAAATATTAATGCTTTTAAAAAGTACACTTATTTTGATATATTGACTAACATACTAAAGCACATGTAAAGTACTTGATTATAATTTTAACTGTATTTTGTAATTTGATATTACATTTAAAGTGAATATATTTTAAATGTCCTAAATTGACACAAAAAGACATACAAGTTTCAATTATGAAATTGCATATAAAGATTACAGTGAGTCAAAAAACATTCTGAAATTCATCTAATTGCATTTTATATACATTTAATGTGATACGTGTTTGCAAAACTGTTATACGCATTATATTGTGTCATTAAGCTGCGTTTAGCTAAATGGTAAAAACACAACATTGTTTTTGCATTAACTTAATGCACATTTTGACTTCAGTAAACCCACTTCAGTCTATGGTTAAAATTGTATGCAAATTTTAAGCATGTGTATGTGCATTTCCATTCAGATGTTCCTATGTACAAATTCAACATTTCCATAAAAGTAGCAGAAACAGTGGAAACTCAGCAAGTGTTTAATGAAGTAGATAGTACTTCTTAATCGTTATGTCGTGAGCTAGAAACCAAACTGTTGACTGATTTTGTGTTAGAAACCAATATTTTAAAAAATCATTTGTGAAGCATTCAAAAAATATAAATGGTCTTAACACGTTCTTTCGCTTTAAATTCACTGAGCATTCGCAGCACTATCTGTAGCTTTCTAATGCTGCTTAACCCACTAATTTGTTGACGCACTGGCTCAGCGTGAATTTTCTCTGTCTCGCCACAGGTTTTATGGGAAACTACTGCAGAGTTTGATGGAGTGTGACGATGAGACGTTGGACCTGGTGAGGGCAAATATGTTGACCCGATTAGGGCCCGAGATCGCCATGCTCTTCCAACTACTGCAGAACAAGCCGTGTCCGTCTGCTGCAGTACCTACTGGAATGGAGACTCGTGGTGGGTGGCGGTGGTCTGTCAGTCCCTATGGATACAAGATCCAGCCAAATCTACGCAACAGAGATGCCTCGGATCTCTTTGGCAAGAAACGCAACATTGGTGACAGCTCTTAACTTCAGACCAATTTGCCAGTCCAAACTTAGCCATCGTGCACACATAAACAAACGCAGAGTGAAAACACACACACACACAGAAAAAATTAAAGCAAGACAAAACAGTGGTTTATTTTCCGAGGCTATACAAGGACACATTCCTTCTCAACTGGAAAAAGGCATGCACCAGTGCAGAAACATCTTGAATGTCCTAATTCTATGTTTATCACTTCATATTCGACGAGTTTTACACGTTTAAGGGGAAATCGGCCTGGTTTACAGACCGATCCGCGTGTAGGTCAAGTCAAGGTCATCATGAAATCCAGCGGAAGTCATCCAGGCCATTATGTAGAGAGCTTTTAGACTTATTTCCATGAAAATATCTCTAGAAACGAAAGGAAAATACTATCGGGGAAAAAAAATCAACAGCCATTTATATATGAAATATATCTTACAGAGATTACAGCAAAGAAAATGTATGTGTATATAAACTGAATCTAGCATTGATGTGAAATAGTTGGCATGTGTTATAGAAATAAGAGTGTACTATTTATTTATTAACAGATATTTTAATACTACTTTAGCTGTAAATCTCAAATTGCCACTAGCCTTTTTGTGAAACTCTCCCATTTGGCGAGAGCTATATCTTTAAAAATCGATGTGCGGGAATTCATTAAAATACCAAAAAACTCAAGTTCAGATGCCGTAAATCATAAGAATCGACTACAGCAACAGTAGATGTCAGCGATCCACACTGGACGACCAAACAATATTTATGAAATGAGTTAGAGATGCACAGGAAGGGACAGATAATTTCTCTTCGCACTCCTTCAGCTTCTTTCTGAAGATCTACAGGAGCTTTTTTTCACTGTTCGCAAGCTCTTGGATGGTCTCTCTACTTATTATCTGTTCAAATAGTGCAGTACAAATAAACTCGGAGAGGAAAATCAATTCTAAGCCCTGAGTGCATTGTTAGCGCTACATCTAAACACATATTTTGGCAAACCTATTGGACAGATGAACAAATTACTCCCTGGTGAATATGACATGCAGAAGTGAGTTCAAGCGCGCTGTTCTCAGCGTTGCTGAGACAAAAAAGAAAATAAATAACCTAAATGTTTATTTAAAAACATATTAATTGAATTATACATATTTATTTTCTTACTATTTTATTTAAATGTTTATTTTATTACAATTCTGTGGGCAATATTAGTTCATTCAGCAAGCATCGGTTTATAGATATAGTGCTTTTTGATTGCTTAGGCGTCTGTTTTTGGGAGCTATTTGAAATTGATTTAATCTATCATTTATTTAGTCATTCTGAGTTGACTGTATAAGACCCATGTAATGACTCTGTGCTGGTCATGGGGGAACACGCTGGTCATATGATATATGGGACCACTATAATGCAAACTTTGTCAAAAGTTTATTGAGCATTGCCACATGCTGTGTATACATTCAGGGTTTATGAGCTATATAGAGTATATATTGTTAGCTTTAACAGAGTAATTGACATCCAGTATTTCATAGTGCTGTCGTTAATAGAGAGGGCGATGCGGTTCAGCCATTGTACGGTTAGAGCGAGTGGTTAATTTGGGGCAATCACTGAAAAGTGTTTTACGGAGCCATTCTCGACACTATGCAATATACAACGTTTCCGAAAGGCCTATTTCTCTCAAAGTGTTTACCCAGGGTGAATGGGGAAGAGCTCTTTGTAAGTGCTGCTTGAGGAAGTTCAGACTAGCAAAGACTGGAGGGCAGTGTTCGGCTTGGGAATGACTGAGGACCGAGGGCCAAATCTAATCAAACTACCGCAAAACCACTTTTTGACTATTCCCGTCCAAACACAAATTCCATAGCAAAGAAGCCGTTTCACCACTGAGTGATTTAACCATTCAAATTACCAATCTGCATCGCTTAATATGTCCTGACTTGTTTGAAAAACACAGGCTAGCCATTAAATGGCTTGTTTTATGGTGAACTTACACTGGCGCCGTATTGGTAGTGTGGTGATAATACAGCAGTTTGATTGAATTGGACCCAAAGCGAAATGAGAGAGTAGAACCGGAGAGGGCAGAATGACTGTTTTTTCTTAAACCAAATGATCTGCAAATCTAAAAGTAATTCACCAAACTATGCAATAAACGGTTTCAAACTAAAATCCATGCTATCAAGCCCTAAGCGGAAATGGGGCTGTTTCAGTTTTGAGACTAGGCAACAGTAGCGTTTTTCTTCTCCCATATGAAATCAAATCCCCTCTCGCCAATAATCCTTTGTTTTTGTTTTGTTTTTCCCCTGATTTCTTTATTTCGCGTTCCTGTTTCTGGCCAAACTGGTTAATTCTCTTTTTCTGTGTGTGTATATGTGTATTTATAATAATATATGCACTTTCCGTCTCATAGGACCACTATCAAAAGGGCATTGAAGCATAGTCAGATTCTGCTCAGAAACACTAGAATAGCTGCTGCGTTCTTGTTGAACAGGCAAGGATGCAATGGCAAAGTGAGGATTTTTTCTTTGTTCGTTTCTGTTTGGGAAATACGGTATGATATCGCAATCTATTAAACACCAAGGAAGTACCTGTACCAAACAAAGCTGCTAAACTGATTTCCAACCCCACTGTGTTACGTTAAAGCTATTTTTCCATTGAAATCCCATCGGTTGGTCCGACATTAACTGTGTGTGCATCATGCCGAACATTTTCAAACTAAATGACCAGTGACTCGATTATGCATTACCATTTTCATGCACTTCTGGTATCTCAGCAACAAGGTGTCCAAACCATCTCCAGAGAAACAGCAGCGAGTGCAGACGTTTTTTTTTTTTTTTTCAGCCCAGCTCAAAGACATTTGATGTTTAAAAAGATGCTGGTGAACTACTCTTAAGTAGCATTAAAGTTTGATTTTCGGCAATGCTGTTCGGAAGGTTTGGCCACTCTTGTCCTGATCACATCTTTTCTTCCGTTACTAAATCAAAGGGTGTTGTACATTTAAATGTAAATGTCTGTTATTTTGTTAAATTATTACAATGCATGTGTTAGACTGCTGTGGATACAAGGCTTTTTTTCTCATTCAAAGCCTCTGTCATGTAGCTCAACATTTTATTAATATTGTGATTCAGAGAATTTTCAAAAACATAATGGAAAGCATTGTGTCCTTATCACGATTTATGGTGGATTAGCAGAGATTGGAGACTGACCCTTCTTGTTGCCAAATTTAAAGTTTATATAACCACTGCCTCAAGGAAACATCAAGACTTCTAGACTTAGAATCGAATCGAACATTATTTGCCTGCGTTACAGAACTAGTGTAGAATGTAGAGTGGGAATGATTGGAAAATGAGGTTCTGTGTGATCAAATTGTCCCAATCAGACATGTTTCAGGCTAGGTTAGTGCTTAGTTGATATTGTCATTTTACATCATAGCCAGAAAGATCAGGATGCACTACAATAGAAGCGATCTGTTCATGCAGGTCCTTCGTTGTCTCAGATTCACCAAAACCTGGTGATTTCTCTTCTTTGATCCAGGGCCCTGAGGACTATAGGCTACACAAGCCATTAAACTGTATGGTACTCTCGCCTCTCAAAACTTGAAACCACTTATACCGCTCATATTCCTGTTTATGTTCAAATGTTGAGATTCAATGTTGTTGTATTTTTCTTTTAAAATGCAGTATGAAACCAAAATAGGAAAAGATTGTTTTGCAAGGCTTTCTCTCTTTTTTTGTCCCTAATGTTACACATGATGGAAATTTGTGATTGATTTGCACTTTATATTGAACCCATATACATATATACTTGTGTATATGTGTTGAGGTTGCTTTCTGTGCTGACAGGTCAAAAAAAAAATTATACAAACACATTAACTATGTGTCTTTTACTGTGTAATAATAAACTATGATCAGATCTGGCACATGGTATCTAATTTTGTGTTCTTATTAACCATTTCGGTGTATATTTGCTAAAGTACTGGATGCATGAGGTGCAGTGTTGTTCATCATGAGCAAGTTATCGAACACCTATTATAACCCATATATTCTAAATGGTGCAGCATTAAAAACTTGGCTTGGGTACAATGAATTCACTCAAATAATAATATAGCATAATCCTAGAACAATCTTAAAGGGGTAATTTACTGCTGGCTGATGGTGTTTTAATAAAAGGTGGCTGTCTATGCAGTAGAAACTCAATTTAGCACACTTAATGCATGGCTCAAACAGACTATACAGGATTAATGAAAAATAATAGTGTCTGAAATAAAGAAAATATAGCACATAAAGAAAAGGAGGAATCTTTTAAAAAAATCTATACTAAAAACATTGAAAAACTGAAGTTTTAATTTAATGACTCTAAAAATTTAACCATCAAGTTAAAATTAATACCACATTTTCCTTGCACCTTATACATGCACTTGTGCAACATAACTGCTTCACTGATTTTTGTCTAAGAAACACACGAAAAAGGATGCCAAAGTAATTAAAGGGGTCATATGATGCTATTTTAAAGATCATTATTTTGTGTATTTGGTGTAACAGAATATGTTGACATGCTTTAATGTTCAAAAAACACATTATTTTTCAAATACTGTACATTATTGTAGGTCCTATATGCCCCGCCTCTCTCAAACACGTCGTTTTCAACAAAGCCCCCTCCTTTGACAAGTGCAGTCTGCTGTGATTGGCCAGCTGACCCAGTGCATTGTGATTGGCCGAACACCACAAGCATGCGTCGGAAATGTAACGCCTCTTACCATGATCGCGAGCGTCAGCTTTCAAAGTAAATATCAAGACAGCTCCAAAGAGAAAGGAAAACTTGAAATCGCATCATATGACCCCTGATGTTCATTTCATTTTTTAATTAGCAATTAAAAACATATTGAAGAGGTGTATTCTTTGCATGTTTGAATTACATTTTTATGTATAACTTAAAGTAGCTGTAACTGTAACTGTTACATTGAATTGCAAGTCAAAATCATTCTGATAGTAAACTGACATCTAATAAGGTGAATAGCTTCTGTTTGTTTCCCATGTTGTCCCCAAACCTAAGTTTGGTGAGTGGGTAGAAAATCTTTGATAAAGGCATATTGCTTTATTACAGCAACAAATGCATGTGTACAGCCATCCACTGTAATTACAACAGTGAATTCCAGAAATTCTAGAAATCAAATGCTCAACAAGGACATTAAGGTAAAGTGTCTATGTTGAGGAGGATAAATGGATGGACAGAGTCACGCTTTTCAGTGTTATGAAATGAGCTTCTGCTTGACACTCATAAAGATGCTTAAAATACATGCTGAGTGTGACCAATCTGCAACAGGGCCCCTTGTCCCCAAAGAGAGACAAGGGGTGCTCATGCCTTCAGAGATGAACTTTCTTAAACTCACTTCACAAACGCGCTGAAACTGCAAAGTGGTTTGGTTCTGTTCTCTAAAGAGTCCTGAGGAAAGGAAGTGAGTCATGCAAGGGAGACGAGCTGAAGCGAGGCAGCAGCTATCTCTAACAGTGGGGAGGGATATCATTTCATGGTAATTTGGACGAGTCCTGAAGGGTTTTTCTCATTTTCTGCACAAGCTCACAGGAGTAGGTGATGCGGCAGCTTGGGCTCAACCTTGATTCAGTCATGTTCCACTTATTTAGTCATTCACTTAACTCACTCACTTGCAAACATCCTAAGTAGATTATCATGCCAGGAGCGACAACTGTTAGCAGAGGCTCAAGCATCATGAAAGCTGCTGCATACATTTGATTCTCAGAATCCTGGATGTTCTTCCAGCTGGAATATGGTTGACTTTTAGCCCCACCAGCGCTGACTTTCATTACACCACACTGGCAAGATGTGTATTGCAGTCTCGACCTGTTGGGTTGCATTGCTGAAACTGAAAACTGGGATATTTCTGCTTTGGTATTCATCCATACATATCCATTGTCACATCCATACTGATGTCAAAGCCTTGAGCACCTTAATGTGATGATGACTGCTTATTCTGTATTCAGTAACTTGCCAGGAGGCTGTCTATAGAATTGTCTATAACCGCAGTAATGATGTATCTTTTAGGCCAGCCTGGAAG